TAAAACCACCAAAGGCAAAGGATGAAAAAGGGCTCGAGTCACTTTTGGGGCAGCAGCTAATTGCTAACTGTGGGCACACAGCATTCGATCTTTGCTTTGGAAAGCTGGGACAAGCTTTTGTCACGTGTAAGGAACAGGTTGCCCAGAGAAGCTGTGGCTGCCCCTGGATCCCTGGAGGTGTCCAAGGTCAGCTTGGAGCAGCCTGGAATAGCAGAAGGTGTCCCTGCCCATGGCACGGGGGTGGGACTGGGTGAGTTTTAAAGTCCCTTCCGACCTAAACCAGTCTGGTTTAGGGAATCCTGAGGGGCTCACAAGGATCACAGAGTGCAACCCCTGGCCCTGCACAGACACCCCAACAATCCCACCCCGTCCCTCAGAGCGTTGTCCAAACCCTTCTGGAGCTCTGGCAGCTTTGGGGCCGTGCCCACTGCCCTGGGGGGCCTGTTCAGTGCCCAGCCACCCTCTGGGGGAAGGACCTTTTCCTGACATCCAACCTAAACCTCCTCACAGCTCCTAAACCTCCTAAACCGCAGCTCCAGCTGCTGCCTCGGGTCCCGTCCCCGCTCACACAGAGCAGAGGTCGGAGCTGCAGCCCCCGAGGTCTCCCCTCAGCCTCCTCCAGCCGAACAAGCCAAGTGCCCCTCCAGACCCTTCAGGGCTGGATCCTGTCCTGGTTTCAGCTGGGAACCAGTTAATTCCTGCCCAGGAGCTGTTCCAGTGCTGTGTTTTGGATTTGGGATGAGAACAGGGTCGATAACACACGGATGGTTTGGGTTTTTGCTCAGTCGTGTTTGTCCCAAGTCAAGGACTCTTCCTTTTGTTTTTTGTCTCCTGCTCTGCCAGAGCTGGGAGGGAGCAGAGCTGGGACAGGTTATCTGAACTATCTAAAGGGATATTCCACACCACAGACCACCATTCCCAGGCCACAAACTGGGGGGAGTCACCTGGGAGGGGCCGATCTGGGTTTGGGAGGGGGGTCTGACATCGGTCGGGGGGTGGTGAGCAGTTGCATCGTGCATCAATTAGTTTCTTTCCCCTTTTATTATCATTATTATTTACCATTATTACTGTATTTTACTCTATTTTCGATTACTAACCTCTTTTGGTCTCAACATATAAGGTTTATTTTTATTCTCCTCCCCATCCCACCGGGGAGGAAGGAGGAGCAGAGGGTGTTGAGTGAGCTGCTGAGTGGAGCTTAATCTCCAGCTGGGCTTAAAACCATGAAGAGCATCCCCATGGCCCTCCTTTGCATGCTCTCTAGTAGCTTAATATCTTTTTTGATATTGTGGTGCCCAAAACTGCCCCCAGAACTGGAGGTGAGGCCGCACCAGTGCAGAGCATTTTCCTAAAATGAAGCCTGACCCAGCTGAAGTTTGGAAGGAGATGGGCAGTGTCCTCTTCTCACTGGGGTGAT